TGCTGAGGGCTCCAGAGCTGGACGCAGGGCTCCAGGTGGGGTCTCACCAGAGCAGGGTAGAGGGGCAGTTACGACAGCCAGCCCCCCCCGCGGCTCACCCCGCCGGCACTTCCGCGGCTCCACCACCACGCCGGAGGCAGCAACCGCCGGAGCCCGTCACCTCTTTTATGATATTTTAGTATGCGTCTTACATTGCAATTTCCATTCTTGTGTACTTCAGCACAAAGCTTCTTAAGACATGTCAAGCTGTAACTATAACCTTGCTAGACAGAGGTCAGTTATTTCATTTGTCTGATTCAATCAAGTTACATCAGGCATTGAAACTAAATGCCCCTGTACCGCTTCAAAAATTAATCTCTGCCATTGAAGAGTTGCGCTGTTATTTTAGTGGCTTTAATGAAGTGAAATGAGTTACGGAATCTTTAATTTAACTTGAGTAATATATCAAAAGCTTATACGCTTGGAACATGGCCTTTGCCATCCCTTACAGCCTTCTAGCTTTTTTTTTCTTTTAAAAATATGTTTAAGTAAGAAGTCACCTGAAATCACATTAAAAAATATATAAATTCCTGCTTAACTTGTACAAGCATTCACGCCTTTCATCACCCGCTGTGGCACATGCCTGAGTCACCTAAATAACGTTCTTGCTTTCCAGAGGTAGCGCTTACCCATACCCTTTAGCACCAGGGCTCAGTGCCTTTGAGGAGGGAGGAAGCTGCAGGCCACCTGTAGGGCTTTTAGCACAACGGTGTTCTGGTCTACAGTAGAAATAATAAACACTATCGGCAGGAACTGTTGGCTCTACAATCCCTATTTGCGTACCTGGTACAATCCAGCAACAACAACGGTTATTTGAAGAGCAAGGTAAGGCTGTAAAGGTAACACACTCTAATGAAGTAGTAATGCTCTCAAATATCGGTACAAAATATCAGCACTTCAGTCCCTATTTAGAAGTCGACCGCTGCATTCAGAGTCAGACTGTGACACCATCGGGGCATCACCTCTCGTTCCTCAAACAGCATCGGCAACTGTTGGATTACAAGGTGCTATCTGACGTGAATAAAGGCATCAAAGGCTGGCTCACACTTCGTAATGTGGTTTAAAATACGTTTGTCTTGGCCAAGTGTTAGTGACAATATAGCTATCTACAGACTGCACCGCAAGTCGGGCAAAAAAGTTGCATCTTTTTCTGTATGAAAGTACAGCAAAGTAAGAGACAATGGGGAAATATAATAACCATTTTCTGGCATAGGAGAACATTAGTATTACATGTTCTGAATATTCATCGTCTTTTAATACCATTTCACTCTCTTTTTGATCTTAGTATGACCCTAGTCATGATTCTGTTCTGAACAGGTTTAGTCTTTCAGAAAGCCTGTAGCTCATCTTCAGTTTTCTGTTTACTGTTTCTTACTGATTACACCTCTTACTGTTGTAGCCTTGGGAAATGCTCCGAGGTGTCCCTGGAGTATTATGCGTCTAGTTACCTAGTGCATCTTCCGTCCTTTTTAGTTACTTTTCTGTAGCTTAATGAGATCATTTTTCGATCCCCTCCACCGTTAAAACATTTGTCCCCGCATGTCATTTGTTTGAATAAAACATCAGGATGTGTCTCCCAGCCATCATTGTTAAGGTAACACTGTTCCATGCTGAAGCTACCCCTGTCCTTTTATCCCCCTGCTTGCCAAGCTCAGATTTTGCCAATCGGCAGCTCCACAGCAGGATCGAGTCACCTAACCCAGCTCCGATATGGGATGCCCTTTGCAGCGGTAGCCCAGAGTGCAGGGTGCTTTGTACTGCTGAGAAGTGGGAGCCGTAGACGTGCCCGTGGACACACAGGGAAACCCGTAAATGAAATGGGAAAGTCAGCCAAAGCAGAAATAAAAGAAGAGCTGTATCCTCAACCCTTCTCTCTGCTAAGCAGGGAAAGCTTTGAAGGATTACTGCTGATGTCTTTCAAGAAGTTTGCATTTGTTTTGAAGATAAAGAGGAGACCAATTTGTAGCACTGTAATTCCCTTCTCCAGCAGGTTAGACTGCAAACCAAGGACTTTTTTTTATTTTCCTTAAAAGATAAGCGCCTTTTAGACTCTTTGTTCTGTGAAGCTAGGATCTCCTGATGACTGGTGGCTGCACATGTCTCTACAGGTCACTGCAGGAGCTTCAGCCTGCTAATATTGTTGTAGCACTTGCTCGAGTTTTGCCAGTGCAACGCAACATGGTTCTAAATGTCACGTCAGGAGACAACGGAGCAGACTGGGGGGCTGAACTATTGTGTGGAAGGGAACATATCACACAGCAAGTCATTCACTGGACTAGAATAAATCCTCCAGCCCTGGACTGTGATCGCTCCGCAGCCCAGTGAACCACAGTGGTGGGATTTTTGTTGGGGCTGAATGCAAATGCTTGTTCATAAGGACCAGGTTGAGACTGCTGAGAACAACCAATTTCATCCCATCGAAACAAAGCTTCCTCATACAGCTGATCGCATGGTGAGACCCCAGCTTCACCAGGCTTTAAATGGAAGGACCAGTCTAAGAGATTCAGTCTCTTTTGTCACTACACTCCTACCTCATGCTGCGAACTCCTGTAAAATTAAGTCCCGTTTCTAAACAGGAAGCATTGATCCTCAGGTCTGTAGCTTTTAAGCAGCAGTCATTAATTCTCGTGGATGGCTCCTATCTTGTTTAACATCTCCAGTCCCAGACCCAGGCAGTTAATTGAACCAGTACATTAAAAGCCACATAACGGAGACGTGCCGAGGTTCAGCTGGCATCTGTAGAGTCAATGGAAAGCATTGACAGCTTTCCATAATATGACTCAGCAGCTCAAGGGAAAATGTGAAGGTTTCATGCAATGCTGACCTATCTTAGAAGAGGCCAAATTCCTGAATATGAACTTTGGACTAGAGTCAATGGGCAGCTCAGGGGAAAATGTGAAGGTTTCATGCAATGCTGACCTATCTTAGAAGAGGCCAAATTCCTGAATATGAACTTTGGAGGCAAAGAACGGATGAGGGTGACGTGCCTGAGCCAGTCTGGCAAGAAGGGGCAGTGGTAGGTTGCAATTGGTGCCAGTGATGGACACACACAGCAGCTCAGCTGGAGAGAAAGAGCAAGTGCTTATCCTGCCTGCAAAGAAACAAGCGGAGGCAATCTTGGAACCATGGAAGATAAATGAATCCTCAGCAGGGGAATTTCTGCATGAAGACAAATAGCCAGGAACTGATTTCCTCTAAACTACTTTATGGTTAGCAAGCTTAATCTCGCCTTCATGTGAGGATCTCATAAATATAGAAAACTATTTGTCCAGATTTCCTTTATGGTCAGTGGAGAGTCCAGGCCTCCTCAAAACGATAGTTCATCAACACAGCCTTTGGTGAGGATGATCCACCCACTGAAGGTATTTGTCTCCATTGGGTGAGACCTTTCCAACACCCACATCTCAGTAAGATAAATTCCACCCCAAATTCAGGTACCGACTTTCTGACAAGGGGTTTGGGACTGGAGGACAGAATCTTTTTATAGACAAACTGCTGAAGGAGGAGCCCCAAGAAACAGGTACCCTGGAAGTGAGAAAGCTCTCTAAGCCCTTGTGAGCTGTGCAGGCAAAAGCAATATCCTGCATGTGTGGTGTGTGCGCAGGGTTATCGTCCTGTGTGCACCATTAGGAGAGCAGTGAAACTAGCTGCAAATATCTCTAAGTTTCTCTTGATCTAGACTGGGCAGCTGTGTGAATCAGGGGTACAGCCATTCTGATGGCAAATCTAACAGGAAGAGCAGGCAATGCTGTGCGTCCCGCCAGTGAACGCAGCTACAGATCACAAACAAGTGTTCCCCAGGCCTTAGCCACAGTCCCACTTGCATTTTTCCCATCAACTGTACTTCGTTTCTTTGGTACTATTTTTTCTGTATTTATATACATTTAAAACTATTAATAAATGCATCGGTTTTGCTATAACATTTGGGGAAGGAAATGCAGTCTGATTGGTTTAGAGAAATTAACAATAGGTAACTTTTAATTGAAGAAAAGTTTGTTTCCTGAATCACAGCAAACCAGGTTTCTACTTTAAGCAAAGAAAACATGATGGCTTGATCTCAAATCCCACAGAAACCTGTATCCATCCTTAGCTTTGCACAGTGCAGGTGTGTAAGAGTCAGTATATATTTATTGGGACCTTCCTAAAGTGTCACACTGGATCACCTGATGTAAAATGCGTTCCTGCTGCACTACAGTTGCCACACAGACAAATAACATGCGCATGCAAGGACTTCCATTAATGTGTCTTGATATTGGAAGATTTCCGGAAAGACAGAAATTTAATCATGGGAAGCGAAAAAACCCGAAAGCCTGGAGATGAAGCAGGCACTTTTGTGATGCTCTTTCAGAAGCTGTCACATAACACAGCTGCTGTTCTCCCCAGCATCTTCTTGGTTTTGCCTGTAAATGCATGTCTCCCTGTTCCCATCTATTTTTGGTAAGGCCAAAAGTCCCCCGGAGCACTATAATTATCTCCGTCAGAAAAGTCAGAAGAGTTCACAGCTGAAGTAGGTGTCTGCCCAGAACAGGAAAGTCAGGTACACCCTCATGTGTGTTGGGGAGGTATTAAAATCAAGCTGCTGCACGCAGTTTTCAGGGAAAGATTTGGGAATCTGGCTGTACTAGTGGGAGAGATTTGTGTAGCATCTCTGCTTTAGAAAATAAGAGAAAATAAGTCGTATTATCCCTCTGGGCTTTAACTTCAAACCATTAAAGATTGAGCAGAATAAACTTATTTTAAATAAAACCTTGCTGCTTCATCTGTTGGAAGGGAGAAAAATAGTTGAGCCCCTTAATACAAATGCAATAATGAGGATATGCTGGTGATCCTTTCCCTGCTTTTCCTTTTGTTTATTGCCAGTTTTCCCTGCAACACATTCCGGGGTTAGAACCTCTCTGCCTAGTTGTCTGAAATAAGTGAGGTTCTACTTTTAATGAAAAAAGTCAAATTTTGTTACGGCAGTGATAAAATTCAATTACATTAAGTTTTATGTGTGACTGAGTATCCCTATACACAAAAAGTGAAAACTACATTTTCAACAACATATGTCAACTGCCAGAATCTTGTTAAGAAATGTAAAAAACCATGATTAAAGAGGGTAAGCCTTGCAAAGACATTCTGGAAGGACGTTAATGGCTAAGACCTTGAGTTCGGATTTGGGGAATGCAGAATACCAAATAGATGCCAGGCTGCAGGCAGCTTTTGTGTCTGTCTTTGCTCTGAGGTGCCAGGGCCTGATTTTCAGTGGAACTCCCATCTCCCACTGATTTTATTAAGAATATTGGCTGCATGGTACACCTCTGAAAGCAGGCCTTGGTGTCATACACTGGGCACTCAACACTAACTACTGCTTTAAAACTGAGGATTTTAAGATGTTCCATCTCTTTAGTTCCCCTGTATTTTCCAGGTCAACGGAAAATTCGGAGAAATCCAGATTTTGCGGAAAAGAGCTGTCGTGACAAGTACATCGTCCTTTATTTGTGACAACACTCGGCACGTAACCCCAGAGCGAAAGGCTCCGTCTCTGGCCTTGGATACACCGACTGCCTCCGTGGAGTGGGGGATAAGTGTGGGCTGATACAAAAGCTGCAAGTACCCGTTCACAGAGGAAGCAGATTAACACCCTAAGCCGCTGAATAATTTCCATTGTGTATATATGCAACTGCGTGAGCGAAATGCCCATGTTTTGCTGCATATTATGCTTCATTATTTTTGAATACAATAGATCTCTTGGCATTAGTACTAAATGAATGGTAAGTTCATTTCATCTGAAAGTCTAAACAAACAAGCACTAACAATGAGAATAAATCAGATTGCTGCAGTGCTTTCAAGTAGCTGGTAAAAATAGTATTTTAATCAAATAACTCAGTTGTAACTGCCATGAACTACTGGGAAGGTTAAGGCTGTGGCTCAGTATTCTAGTGAGAAAACACACAGAATTATTCAAATCACGCAATTTCATCGCCACCGCTTGACTCAGATTAAAAGCAGAAGATGGTAGTCTGAGTTTCTATCCCTACTACCAAGCTGAAGCCACCAACAAAACAAAGGTTAATGGAATATTCTGAAAGACAAGCCATTTAGCAAGAAAATGCAATGCTATACAAAAATAACTATGGCCAGACTGGAGTGGTTTACTCCAAAATAAAGAAATGCTTTTGGTTTATTTGGGTTTACTCCAAAATGAGGAATAAGCTCACATTTAAGACTCTGGACCAGTGTTTGTGAGATGTGAGTTCAGTTCTTGGCTGCAGCATGGACTGCCTGGTGCGGCCGAGCTCGCACGGGAGATGACTGCCTCTATTTCTTGGGAATACTGCGAGGCAAGAGTAACTGGAAAGTCTGAGCTGCTCAAATACGGCGATGCTGAAAACCAAAGGGAACGCTGCAGGTAACACCACTTGGATGTGCTCTGGGGTAGCTGAAATTAGAATTTAGCTCTGAAGGATTTAGTGCTTACTGAAGTCTGTGGGAATCATAGTTCAGTGAACTCTGTGTCAGGCCTTTTCATGGGTAATGAGCAATATATAGTTTGAAACATATTCTCAGTTAACCTCAGTGAAATGAGAAATAACGTGACTGCAGACCGTGCAGTTGCATCAGATTAAAACCAGTCCTTAGCGTGCCCTAAATATAACATAGTTCCTATTCAAAGGAATTAGAGCTCAATAAGAGCTGAGAACATTATTTTTTGCCTTTTTTTCTACAGACAGCCTTACCCAGAGACTGCCAGATTATTTTTTTTGAGACCAAAAGAAAGCACCATGGTCATCTGATTGAAACTCCAGCAGAGCAGATCCCTTCCTACTTCCTCCGTCCGGCCCGGTGGCAGCATCTGAACCAGAACACTGCTTCCAGAAAAACATCTAAAAACCCAAGCGATAAACCTGTTGCAATCCTTGGTGACTTGTTCCCTCACCATAAGAAACTTGTTTCTGGTCTGCATTTGTACAGCTACAGCTTCATACCCTGATGGTCATGTCTTTGCCTATGGATTAGAGTCTGTTCAAATTTATGTTCACCACGTAAGTACTTACGGGTTGTGATCAAAGCACCACATACGCTCCCTTTGATACACGGCATGGATTGCACTCTCTGACTCTCTCTCTCTCTGAGATGTTTTCCAATCTTTTAATCATTCCCCTCTCTGAATCCTCTCCAGTTCCTGAGCTGGCGCGATTGGGAGGCAATGGCTGGAGCGAAGAGGAAGATAAAGTCCTACACTTCTGAAAATGTTTCACTTCTAACTCTTTTTTGCTGCCCAATACCTGCTAGAGGCTGAAAATTCAGCACAGCTATGCAGACTAGACTGGTCTGTTGGGGACATTGGCTTTAGCAGCTATTCAAGGATCGGACACCCACTCCGCCTCTGCTTCCTGAGCTGCGGTTTGAGCGCCGGCACTAGCAGATTGGGCTGTTAGCCAGCTCGTAGCTCCATGCACGTTCATGAGCTCCAATTCCAGGCAGCTGCTTGGGACCAAGTTCTCTCTCCAGTTCATCGGTGCATGGCCACTAACCTGAATGTTGCAGCTCCAAAACCAAGAGGCAATTTTAAAGAACACAAAACCTGTCCATCTGTGCCCGAGACGCACAGCCCTGCTCTGCGCCTTTGGAAACCAGATCCGCGGCAGAGGTAGTGCACAGGCATGTTGTCAGAGGCCTTTTAAGTCTGTTTAACAACCTGAACTCTTTGCTAGAAAACATCTGATACCAACTAGACTAAACCCAGGCTTATCAAAAGGACACGGTAATAAAAGCTAATTTTGATTGTGGACGTCAGCGTGGAGTTAGAGGGTGCTACTAACAGTGATGATAGCTATGGCTTCAGAGGTAAAAAGGGACTAAACCAGCAACTGCCTTGGTAGCCATTAAAAAAACCAGAAGACAGACTTAATAAAATGGTTGTTGCTGGGCAAGAGAACAGCTGAAAGTGTTGCACTTTGTAATAACGGAAAGAGAACGTTCCCCAAATCAAACTGCCTTGCAACTGAAACAGGCATTTGTATTTAAATGAAAAATTAGCAGGAAAAGCTATTGCCAGTGCTGCATGGCTTCTTTCCCCCCCACCCTTAAGCTGCCCACCCTCACAACCTCACCGGAGGGCCCTGCCCTGGGACGGGGTTTGGCTGTGCCCCCCATGCCGCCCCCGGCCTGGCCCAGCCCGAGGGCTCCTGCCCGTGCTCGCCTGTCCGTCTCTCACAGCCCGACCTGGAGAAAAATCAAACCTACTTCCCTCTCTCTGCCTCAACAGGCGAATTTGTCAGCAGGGTGCAGCACGTCGCAGGGGTGTCGGGGGCTGCGGGAACAGCTGTTTGCTGCTGCGGCAGCTTGGGGCACGCGGATGAAAGATGCTCCGGGAGCAAATCAGCACAATCACAGCTCGGTGAGGATGAAAATAGCGTCTGCAGCTGCACCGGCTCGGGAGGGGCGGGGAGCCCAAGCGAAACGTGTAGGAAAACAGGTTCATCACTGGGGAGCCGACACCTTCCTCGCCGCGCTGGCACTCACCCTGCACCCGGCTCTGATGGCCTCGGATCGGGGCTGTGTTTACCTGGGGGTCACGTTTGTTTGTCTTCTTGTTTCCTGCAGCTGGGGAGAAGGGTACATGCCCACGATATTATTGTTTCCCTCTCTTTTGTCCCATGAGGCATCTGTAGGTCTTGCTTAGAGATGGGTGTGCACGTAAGTACGGCCGGTGCCAGGCAGCCTGCGGGAAGGCTGAGCTGCAAAATGATGCCAGCCATGATACAGCTCACAAGGCTTTAAAAAACTGAGCAATTACTACATACTAATATTGTATATACTAAAAATTAGAAAAGAATTCATCTGTCACTAGAGTAATTAAAATAATTGTCACCACAGGAAAAAGCTCTGTGGAATACTACTCCGTATTGACTTTGATGGGAAAGAGTGTTTCTACGACTGATAAATCAGGAGCGGACTTTTGTCCCATGAACCTCTGCTTTCCAGTAAGATCTTTAATTGACTTCTACATAAAGATTATGAATGACTCAAAAACTGGTTCATGCTGCAACCAGTGAAGTGTTCTTTTTTTCTCTTCCACACCAAATCCTTAAATGTCAATCTATTAACATAACAAATTGCCCATCGGGAATAAGGCTGCCTTTGGAGGCTGGGAGCGCAGGCTGTGTTCCTTATTAGCCCTTTCCTAGTCCCTCTATGGTAATTTAAACTGAAGTAAACTAACATGTGGGTGATTAACTCACTTACAAAAAAAGCACAAAATAGTAGTTTTAATCACCCGCCTCTATTATTTCCACCAGAAAAAGTTAATTTGAGCAGTTGCAAATGAAGCCTTTTGAGTCCAGCTTTACCTAATTAAGCTTATTTAAAAGGCAAAAATAAAAAAAACCCCAACCCTCCAAAATGTTACAGAAAAATTCTCATAAGACAGTCCCAAACCCAAACCGTTTTATTGTATATTGAATATTCATTTCCATAAGCAAAAAATTGAAAATAACCAACCACACAGCAAGTCAAGACTTTATGTGCTGAAACTTCCCCTGCTTTGCATAGCTGCAACACCACCTGGGCCAGCCTGCCGCTCGCATTTTGGTGCCTCATGCAGCTCAAGAGCTCAAATCTGATAGCAACAGATATGGTTAAAGAAAGGAACAAAAACCAGGTGGAAATCATTACTGCCTTGCTCTGTCTTGGCACCACATGTAAAAGCAACTGCGATCATGTCAGATTCCCCCAAACACGCAGCACGAGATGCTGAAACATCTCAATTAAGAGAATTGAAACGCAACAGCAGCCTCCAAAAAAATGGAAGAGAAACCCGAAGCTGCTTTCCTATATTGTATGTATCGCACAGCAGTTAGAGGTCCAAAGGTGATCAGGGCCCCCCCTCTCCAGCCCTTGCAAGGGGAGGCTCTGTTTTATCGTCGGCGCTGTCCTCCCTGGGCTCTCCCCAATTAGAGCTGCCAGTGACCACCGAACCACCGGTGCCAGCCAGCCAGGCACAACTTCCAGGGGACTCTATGAAAAAGGCAAGCCCCAAGCCCTTTCTGCTAGCTAGTAAAAACCTGGCACCACCAAGAAGGCGAATAATTAACAATAACCTTTAAAAGGAAGGTTTTGTTAATAACTTGTTTCCAAAAAGCTGTCCCAGCCTCTTGACTAAATGCAATCAATGAATCAACACACAAGGTTCAGATATCAACCGTGCTGTGCATTTAGGGGCAAATACAGCCTAAACAGCCAAATAATCGTGCTGCTCTCTCAATACATACAAAATTTATGGTCGCTGCAATATTTCAGCAACGGCACTTTTTGAAGGAGGAACGGGCTGCAGAGCAATTAGGATGAAAAAAAGTTTTGGCTGCGTTTAGCTCAGCGGCTCTCATCTGTCACAGAAAGAAATTTACGCTGCTGCAGAAAGGCCGCATTAAAAGCCTGGGAGGAGAGCATGCACCCCCCGGCTTTTGGGTGTTGCAGTGGCCAGAAGCTTCTCTGCAGTGCCAAAAATATATATATATGGAAATGACAAGCTTTTATTAGTGCTCCTATCACGTAAAAATAATAAATAATCAAGTCTTTACCTCTCCCATCACCACAATTAGTTCTTTCTGTCTCATATTTACAGTAGTTGTCCCGAGGGTTTGAAGTATATTGCATTAAGCAATTCCTATTGCTATGGTCTATGGTCTATGGTTTCCTTACCTCTGTGGCTCCTGCTCGAGACCTACTGGCTTAGTTGCTACAGGAGTTCAGAGTCTGACTCCTCCACTGCAGCTCTTTACTTCCAGGGACAGTCCAAGAAAGCATATTCTCCAGCAGCAAAATTATAGCTAGCTGTTTCTAATTCATTGAGATCTAGAGTTACCTCCAGATTACTATTTATTTTCCAGACCAGACAAGTACATACCTTTCCTCGGGTATTTTGGCTTTGGGTGATGAACAGCAAAGATAAATATAAAGACAAATAGGTGAAACCTAATATCTGTTTACATATGTTGGGTAAACATAGGACTAGCTCTATTATTCAAATAAGCTTAACTACGTACTTAAAATGAAAAGCATGTGTGATTGCAAAGCCAGAGCCTAATCTGGAGACGCAGCTCACTCCTGATGTCCTGGCCACGACAATGCTCAAGGCACCACCACAGCCCCATGGGTGCAATATATTTATTTGGTGGTGGCGGGTTTTTTACTTACTGCTTTCTGTTCAGCCAACCACCCACAGAAGTCCCGACTCCTGTTGCCAAATGTCCAACACACACTCCATCAGCTGCGGATGTCCCCAGAGCCACAACGTTCTGACATTTTTAATGTTAAATTGCCAGAAAGCATTTTCCGTGGCATAATTCGAGGAGCAGGATTGGCTCCCCTGCAGCACAGCTGGGCTTCATGAAGGCGTCTGCCCATCGCTGTCGCCACTTACACGGACTGAACACTTCGTAGCCCTGAAAAGTTTTGGCTTAATTGACTGCTCTGACCTACTCTTTTTGGAATTATTTTACTTTTATTTCCCCACTTCTCCTAGTTGTCGCTGTTTTACACTGTGATACACTGCTTACAACTGCAAGGTTTCTAGCAGCACCCCCAAACTGCAGGCAGGACTCCTCGCAGTGTACCAGGAGCTCCAAAAACCTGTGAGATGTGACCGCTTGGGTCTTGCCCACGCCAGAAGCGATGCCACTTGTGACAGATGCAGCTGTACCACCCCCTCAGTGCAAACACAGACAGGCTGGACCACAGGCACTTCGTACCCATACAGGGTTATTCGCACACGGGAAAGGAAATCATGGAGTGGTGTAAGGCCTTACAACCTTATAACTCTTCATAACAGGGACTGAAGAGCTGAAAACACATTGCACGTTCCTCCAAAGCTGAAACAGCGTGGAGAGCACCCCGCAGCTGAGTAAAATGCTGCTGCTTAGGCTTGACGCTATTAGGTTCCCACCCATCACTATCAGACCCCCAGTCTCTGGAAGATAATGTCGGCTGATGCTTTGCTGCTCCCCAATGTGTTCGGTCTACATCTATGAAGCCCCTCCAGAAGCTGGCAAGTGTCCGTCCTTTCAGGAGTCAGTGCTGGGGCAGGTGGAGGCTGCTGCCTTGGCTGCGGTTTAATGAGGAGCTGTATGGGGACAGCTCGGAGGAAAGGGAAGGACACGGGTCACCTTGTGAACCTGCTTAAAATGTAGCCAAAGAGCAAGTGCAGGGGAGCCCTTATGCCTTTGCATCTTAAATACCGTGTGGACTATTATTATGAGGAGGCAGGATAGAAATGTTGGAAAAAAAATAACCTGGGAAGAATTGCAGTGGGTTCATTTTCTGAGCTCCGTTGTACAAAACTTATTTCTTCAACATCCATCCTGCCCACTGCTGAGCCAAAGTCTACCCCTTCCCTTGGAGCAATTTGCAAGCCGCACCTGGGAGGAAAGCTCCCCGACATCCCTGGCAGCTCTGACAAATTCTGCGATGCCAGGAAAACAGCAGGCCCCGAGTAAAGCGGGGAGGTTGTGTTACGTCAGTCCCTCCTCGGAGCACAAGCACTTGGAACATTAAAAAGGAAAAAAAAAAAAAAAGAGTTTCATGAATCTGATCTGTTGCATCTATGAAAACACTGAAAGAGGCGAGAGACTGTAGTTCATTTTTCAGGGATAGTAAATAGGTGTTTATATATCCTGTCGTCTTCTGCATATCCACACACGGTCTGTAAAGCTGCATGTTTTTTTCTTTGTTCAAGACTTAATTGTCCTGGGTATTTACTGCCCATATCTACTACCCACAAATGATGTGTTTCCAGCTAGTTGTACTCTTTTTTTGGTGGGGAGGGAGGAAGGGAGGGAATCCTGAGATCAATAAATCAAGTTAAATAATTCATAGCTAGCCCCTTTTATAGAAA